GTTGTCTACGCCACCACCCCCCCCCCCCCCCCCTTCCCCCCCCCTTCCCTGTACCCCAAGCGCTTCAACTAACCAACGCAACACCTACACCTACACCTACGCCGCAGAACCCATCGGTCCCGCAGCCGACTCTCTCACTCCGTGAGCACTCCTCCGTGGGCTGCACAAGGCTCCGGTACCACGGCTGGGTTTCCGCCATGCCTCTACTCCGCTCCACCCGCGTGGCAGGTAGGTACTTACTATTTACTACCTACTACCTACTTAGGTGAAAAGCCTGCCTGCCAGCGGGCATTGCCATCGCCGAATTCGCGCTTCGCGGCGCTCTACCTACTTGAACCTGTCAAGTAGAAGTAAATTTGAGACCCCTGCTTGACTTGATCGGGAGGAGGAGCTACGTAGTACGACGGCGACGGCATGGAGCTAGGTATGTATGTATGTATGCGGGCCCGGTTCGGGATGCGGGGAGTGGTATATTGTATCGGTATCGGTACTTGTTGGTTGTGAATAGTTGTTGTTTTTGAATACTTGTTGTTTCTGTTCAATGCATGCACGAGTGAGGTTTGAGAGAGAAGTGGTAAGTAGGTAGTAGGTACCTACCCAGCTGATGCTGATGGTGGAAAGGACGGCGTCGGTCCGGCAAGTGTCGCGCCGCGGGAACGGGCGCGCTTCAGTCAGGGCGAGTGAGTGGGTGGTTTCTTGGGGCGTGGCGGCGTTGGGGAAGGGTGCGCGACGGGTCCTGTGGTTTCCTACCCTACCTACCCTACCTACCCTACCGGTACCCATACTCTCTGTATCAGTCGGCTCGGCTTGGCTTTTGGGCGATGGCAACTCTGGGATTTGTACGGGATGACGAGCTATTCTGGTGTGGTTCTGTGAATGCCACGCCACACTGCCTTGGGGGTGCCGGACACGGTACGTGGAGGTAGGTGTTGGCAGAGGTGGGTGTTGTTTGGAGCTCGTGTGCAGCACTCCCCCGTTTCCGCTCTGTAACCCCCAGTCGAGATCTCACATGCGGTGATAGGTAACTCGCCACGACATACAGGGTCGTACCTCTACGTATGGCACAACTTGGCTCCAGATCTCGTGTACGGTATCTGACGACACTTCGGCGCCCGATTCGAGTTCTCCGTGTGTCGTGTGTTGGTTGTCACGTGATGGTACATCCCTCGCTTCCCGAGTCAGTCGTCTAGGCATCCATTGGTTGTTGTACCGGTACCACAAATAGGCAGGCGCGCGCGCCAACAGCAAGAACCCCACGACCAGCTCGCAGCGCTCCCACCACCCACCACGCTCAGCATCCGCGTCTTCCCAGCGCAGAGGAAGTCACCCACCAGCATCTATCTATCGCCCGACCGCATTCCCAAGATGCCCCGTCCACTCCCCCCCAGCCTCACCGCCGCACCACCGGCCGTCCCTCCCCACCTGCGGCACCACGCCGCGACCAGCCCGCAGCAGCTCGCAGCCGCACACCCCGGCCGCTTCGCCCACCTCTGCGTCGGCGCCCTCATCTTCCGCCGCCGCGCCCCGGCCGGCGGCCCCGCGCAGTCCCAGCTCCTGCTGCTCCAGCGCGCGGCGACCGATCACGCGCCGGGCGTCTGGGAGGTCCCCGGCGGCGGGGTGGAGCCCGCCGAGGACGCGACGGTGCTGCACGCCGTCGTGCGCGAGGTGTTTGAGGAGACGGGCTTGCGCGTCGGGAGGTTCGTGAGGCAGGTGTGGGATCGGAGGGGGGGGGAGGAGGGGCGGCTGGGCGTGGTAGCTACCGGTGGCGAGGGCGAGGGCGATGGCGACGGTGACGGCGACGGGAGGGGAGAAGGGGTGGTGGTGGTTGGGAGGGGTCCGGGCTGGGGAGAGGTTGAGTTCTTGGATGGGGAGGGGGGGGTGTGGTGGAAGCTGTACTTTGAGGTTGGGGTGGGGGAGGTGGGGGATGCGCTGGATGCGCTGGATGTAGTGCTGGATAAGGAGGAGCATCAGGATTGGGGGTGGTTTTCGAAGGAGGAGGTGAGGGGGTTGCAGCTTATTAGTATGCAAGCTTTGAGGGTTCTAGAGAATGGCTTTGAGGCTTTTGAGGGGTCTGAGATGGGCGAGATGGGCGAGACGGAGACGACGTGACAAGGATCTTGCTACTCCTTAATATACTATACGAACTGTTACGCCACTTACAAATGGATGACGAGTGATCATCAGACACTTCTCCAGTACTTCTCTTCATTGCGAAGAAGACTACCAGAACATCAGACACGAGATAAGCCATCGACGGAGCCTCTCGAACGCGCAGAATCGACGAGCGAGACGGCTGGAAATCGTCGAGAGACAAGCCCGACCAGGCTGCACCGGATTTCGGAAAGCCTGTTCTCAATCGGCTGTGAGGTGTCACGAACGCGATAGGTCTTCAGAAGCTCATCAGTCGGGTGGACACGGAATGAAGCTGTCCATGCCCGCTGATATAGCCTCCCACCGTTCCTCGAACGAGCCCTCCGTGAGGATTACCCGAAGCAGGCCAGATGACCAAAATGACTGGCCCCTCCCGATGAGAGAGCCCAAGATCCTTGAAGGCGCAGGCCGATCGGCGAGCATCGGACTCGAGATCGTTCCCACGCACCGGGTTACTGCCCAGAGGATAGTATCGTAAGTATAGAGCCATCCCCGCGGTGGATGTACGCTACGGCCATGGAAACCGCCTCCGCTGCGGAGGTTTGCTGGATCGCGTCTGACGCGATGTGAGCGAGCTATTCGCGAGGGAGAATCACACGCAGCGGTAACGTGGCGTGCTCGAGATGATACTTTGCGGGCTAGGCAGCTTTCGCGGCCTCTTTCTCGCTCCAACGCTGCTGGGACATGGGAGTCTACGGGCCGCTCTGGATCATCTTGGCTTTCGAATCGGGTACGCCTGCGTGCGGCGTGGGAGGGGGGCGGTGAGCTTTGCCTGGGAAGTCAGTCGATCGGATTCTTATTCGGGACGCTTTGTTCCATGTGGGAAAGCATTGTGATGGTGGACTAAAGGGGCAGACGGTCTAGTTCGCATGAACACCCCGAATCGAAGAGGTACGTACAGAGTCGGAAGGAGGGTCGACGTATCAGTGATCGAACAAGGGAGCTCGCGGTGAAGGAAGATTTCCTTACTAAGTAAATAAAGTAGGTGGCCGCCCTGTATCGCTTCCTTGCTTCTGCGATCCGATGCCGATGCCGGTCTCGACTCTTCATCTTCATTACCACACCAAAGGCCTTTCAACAACGTCCACCGGAAGAGAGATACCCACCCACCCATACCTCCAAATCAAAGCCCATCAAAGTCACAACTTAAGAAGCCACACTTCTATACCGTTAAGTATCCCTCCTCCCCCTTCCCCTCTCTCTGTTCCCCTTACCATAAAAAAAGCTGACCACAAGCTCATCCCCACCCACCCTATCACAACATACCTATCCCAACCCCACCCCCTCTCTCACAACAAGTAAATAACCCTCCCCATCCATCCCACCATCCATCTTCCTCGCCCCAACCCTCCCTACGCCTCACGAACAGCGCTCCCACCCCAACCTTCAAAAACCCCACTTCAAACCCCGCTCCCTCCTCCCTCCTCCCTCCTCCCGATCAAGATCAAGCTCAAGCTCAAGCTCAACCACCCGCCAGGAAAGCAAAGGGTGGCTACCACTACATCCCTACATCAACAAATCGCTAAGCGAATGCTCGTTTAGGCGGGAAAGGGTAGGTATCTACCAGTACCAGTGCCAGTACCGCACTTGCCTTCCTTCATTCACCGTCGTACCTACCCAACCCCAAATATCTAGTTGTGTCTCGACCGGTATACCGACCTACCGGTACCTACCTGCTCAAAGGAGAGCGCAGGCTCTATACCACACACACTATACACACTATACACACTATACACACTATACACACTATACACACTATACATACAACCTCCAACGAACGCCTCGAAAGGCCGTCGTCGTCTGTCGGCAAGATTTAGGGTAAAGAAAGGGCCTTTCTTTCTTTCTTTCTTTCTTTCTTTCTTTCTTTCTTTCTTTCTTTCTTTCTTTCTTTCTTTCTTTCTTTGGTCTGGTCTGGTCTGGTCTGCTCTGCTCTGCTCTGGTCAGATAGGAGGGACGACCGGGATGTTTACAGTGGTACCTACCTACCTACCTACCCACCTACCCACCCACCCACCTCCTCTCCTCTCCCCGAGCCGAGAGAGAGAAAGTCCTCCCGCCCCCCCCCCAGCAAGCAATCGCGCAGAAGTCTCTTTTCCCTTCCCTTCCCTTCCCTTCCCTTCCCCTCCCCTCCCCGCATCCCCGAGCCACACGTCACGTCACGTCACGTCACGTCATATACCGCGACCGGTATGCAGAATAGCCCTACCCTACCTTACCTTACCTTACCTTACCGGTACCTACCGTACTCTACTCTAGTCTAGGTACCTAGTTAATCACAGCACAGCACAGTAGGAAGGAAAGAAGTACCTAGGAGCGTGAGGCTTCTTTGAGCTTAACTCCACATTAATATATATAATTTTTTGGGACTTCAGCTGCCTTCTTCCGTTCCGAGCAAAGCTACCGGTACCGGTACCGGTCGGTACTCTCAGCGGCTTCAGATCAAGAAGCTTGCTTGCTTGCTAGCTAGCTAGCGAGCTAGCGAGCTCTCATCACGTCAATCAGAGCGCAAGGGCGCGCGCGTGCCAGCCAAAACGCAAACGTTTCACCTTTTTTTTTTTTCTCTTTTTTTTCTTCTCTCCTTTTCCAGGTAGTCGAGTTTGAAGATCAACGGGGGCTTTGACTATACCGGTACTGTAGCATGCGGGTCCAAATAGCTGGGGAATGCATCGAGACGTGAAACCAAAATCATTCTGAACTACATTACGGCAATGATGTCCCCGAAGGTTGTTAAGTAGCAGCTGGCCCATTTACGCTAGTCCCAAATCCATAACATCATTGCTTTATCCCATCCTATGTATTCTGTATATGCCTTAAGTCCTTCGCATATTACCCCGTTTCTCATCCTCATGCGTCCGATTGTTTACCCAACCACGTCCTTGGCGCCCGGCACCACCCTCCAGCACCACCCGCACCAACTCCTCGCAACGCCCTCCTGCTCCTTAACCAAGAACCTCCCGGCGTCCTTCTCGTCCCCCCACTCCGGCACACAAGCGCCCACCTTGACCATCCTCACGAGCTTCTTCTTCACCACCCCCCCAATACCCTCAATTTCATGTCTCGCGTAGCCCGGGCCGAGCATCTGCCCGCTGCCACTCCCACTGCAGTGCGCACTTCCCGGGCTCGACGTCGGACTCGCCGCGCGGCTGTGAATATCAATCTCCCTAGCATCTTCGGCGTCACAGTCAATCTCGCTTTCGACTTCGCGCGCAGCAACGCACTCATCGCCGCGTCCACACGGGACGCCACGGTCGCCTTCGCCGATACCGACGCCAAGGCCACCGAGAGAGGGGAGATAGCGAGTTCGCCATTTCCAGATACCTTCGTACTCGTTATCGGCACTCCGAAGGGATCGGCCACAAGGTTGGCAGAGCCAGACGCCTTCCGTGGGACAGTTACAGATCTGCTGTCTGAGAGTATCTGCACCGAGGGGCTTGGTTGGGGAAGCTGCGGAAGAGACTTCGTTGGGGGAGTCGGAGATGCCGCCGATGAGAGAAGAGAGCGGAGCTTTGGAGCAAGGGTTGCAGATGCGGCGGTGGCGATGGCGTAGGAGGACAGGCGCAGGGGGTTTGATGATACAGTTCTGCGATCGCGTTAGCCACTGTGGTACATATTTCAAGTCTAAAAACTCCGTCTTTGGACTATCCAGATTTGAAATGATAGAACTTACCCTACAGACCACCCTTCCGCACCTCCGGCACTCTCCTACCATGTCCCTGGCACAATCCCCAAACTTGCCCGCTCCAGCCCCAATCGTGCCCCCTTCCACAAAATACCAGTCCGCAGCTCGCGCCCGATAACGAAATGTATGCTCCGGGTCAAGCTCCACCTCCTCGTTCTCGCAGTGCAGCGTCGAAGCTATGAGCTGGGTGCGGTACTGAAGGAGGTTGACGCGGATCTGACGGCATGTGAGGGAGAGGGCATCGAGGGTGTTGAGGTCGATGTGTGAAGCCAGGGATATGATCATCCTGCCACAATATCAATCAGCATAAATCACATAGCCATATGTAAATGCGTGTCGGGCGAAGGAAACGTACGGATAACAGGCTAGAGCCTCTGTAATGGCCTTGTTCTTGTTCGGATTTTCCCTCTCCGTCCCTCTCTCTCGACGTCCTGTCTGATAATGCCCTGCATTGATGTCCAGACGCCTCATTACGCCTGCGTGTGCGCGATCATGTTGTATGGACCAATGTCCCTGCAGCAGTTCGGGAGGCTCAGCTTCGTCTTCGAGATCCAGGAAGACGACCATTTTGCTTGGGTGGAAGGTGAGACAAAGTCGGAAAAACTACAAAGGCGCAAAGGAGAAGAAGAAGAGGAACAAGAAGAAGAGGTTGAGAAACGAGGGAGAGGATTAAGGTGGCCCATTGAAGCTGCGGATGCAGCAGAGGGAGGGCGAGAGGATGAGGGATGAGAGAGGAGGGAGGAGGGGGGGGGGGTGGGAGGGAAAAAGGAATGGAAGTGCTGGAGGGTTTTGGCTGGAGGGGTGCGAGCAGACAATGGATGGCTGTGTACCTTACGCAATGGTGGAAGATGGTACTACGGGCCCCACTTTCGGCGGGGTGCCGCTGATCAGATTAGCGGGAAGGAAAGGAGAGTGGGGAACTCGAACGATGCCAACTTGGGGATGCGTTGACCTAAGATTGGGGGTATATGAGGGGATGGGGATTGGGGTTGGGATTGGGATTGGGATTGGGATTGTGCTGCGTTATGTTGTGTTCAAGCCTCAACTCGTGGGGAATTCTTTGGTGATCCCCTCTGGTTCTGTCACCCTCTGCTTCTGTGCTCTGCTGTGTACAGGAGGAATAGGGATTCGGCTCCATGATTTTTTTTTTTTTTTCATTTGGCCTTGGATAGAGTTCAGATCTCGTCGGTGCGTGTTGACTCGTGGCATTCGATAGACAGGGCATCAATTCAGCGTCTACGTTTCTACCAACAGCTGTTCTTCTTCGTCCTCATCAGTCGTGGCTTGCCCCGTCCTCCTCGCATACCTATCACTCCGGCCACCACGTCTCAGACCACGATTCTCCCGCTCCGCCCATACCTTCGGAGCATGGTTGAAGAAGTGACACAGCATGCCAGCAACAAATCCAACACCGTCATTCTTAGACGCCAGCAAACACCCCACCGTCATAAGCATGACCATCCACCTCTCCTTCCGCTCTTCGTCCGATGGCGTCCTCTGCTGCTTCAGGCCTTCTTCTTCCGATTGTTCATTTCCCAATGGAGGATCCGGGGTCTCCCAAAGATCTCGGGCGCCGTAATTCAAGCTCTCTCCAACCTTGGCCAGCTCCAGCCCAGCAGCCAAGACCATAACACCCAAAAGACCTTTCGGATACTCGCGAACAAGCCCAATAAGATTCTCGCCAAACAGGAGGCCTAACACGATTTTGAATATTCCGAGGAGGATAATCGAAGCACCACTTCGAGCACCGAAGCGATATTGTGCTGCTAGACCACCCGACCCGTGACAGACGGGCATGGCTCCGAACCAGCCGCCGATCAGGTTCATCAGAGCAACACTGATACCGATTTCAGTCACTCCGGGGGTAGGGATCTGAGGCAAAAGATCCGCAGAGAGGTGTGCGACGGCAACGATGGAATTCAAGGTGGTAAGTGGAATTTGACCAAGTCCCGCGTCTAGAGCTCCAGTTTTGAAGGCTGTCCAAGAAGGTAGGATGGTATTTGGGTGCCACATCCTGAATGAAGGAATGTTTCGCCCCCCCGCAATGAAGAGGGAAAGTACCAGACCCACGAGGAAGATCAAAAGTGCATACGGCACCCTCTGCATTTTCTGCGTGGCGAGGAGAGCTATGAAGGCGAGGAGTGCCCAGATGAAATTATCCTCTCCATTGGGTGTCGTCCATCCGAGGGGGAGGAGGAGACGGGTGCCAGCGGATGATACTAGTGAAAGACCGGCTCCAACCTGGATGCCCTTTACCACGGGGGTTGGAATGACGCGAGTGAACCACCGCAAGAGACCTGTGATGCTGAACAGGAAGACAAAGCCTGAGGTAGTAAAGCCTGCAGATATTGTTTCTTCCACGGAGAAATTTCTAGCAATAGCGACAGCTGCTATTGCCTGACAGGCAGAAATTCAGTTCACCTTGTTCACCTTGTACATTCCATCTGGACAATTGGCTTACCTTCATAGGCTGAACTGGCAAAGGTATGCCAAATAAAACTCCTGTGAGTATGTTCCAAAATCCGGAGAAGACTAGCGTTGCGGAAAGCGATATCGAATTATTGACAGCCAAAGCTATCATTAGTGGGAGGAGTGTTCCGAGGTCTCCCAGGGATCCGGATATTTCGGAGAGAGGGGACTTTCGAAGAGTAGCAATATTGTTGGCGTGCAACCTGCGGATGTTTGGAAAAGTCATGGCCGGATTTCTTGCAATGGCTGAAGCTTGAGCAGTCTACGGGTCGTATAAGGAGATAGGATAGGTATATACAGTCTGGCAAGTGAGAGTCATTGAAGAGTAACTGCTAACGTTGGCAATGCAATCTGGGTATCATGCGAATAACAAAGAATGAGAAAATAAGAAATCGTAGTGGAATTTAAAAAAAAGGGACGAGATACCGATGTTTTGAAGATGAGTAAGGATGGGCGGTCACACGTAGAATGGTGGATCATGAGAAAAGGAGTTAGACCCGAGGCGAATATCAAAGTGGGGGCGGGGCGGAAGGGAACGGCCCGACCGGTAGAGCTTCGGCAGATAACGCGTCGCGTCGGACATGGTCGTGTTTTTGAAAGATCCACTTCCAGCCTCTTTCCGACCCTGATCTCAACATCCAACTCTACTTCTGCTTCTCATCATCAACGATTCCTTCTCTTCTTTACATAATTCCTCCATACTTTTCTCACCATCCGTTATAGGCCATTACCTGTACTAATTCTCGATATCAATTCTATAACTCTTCAATGTCTTCAACAAGGGCCTCCTCTCCCATGAGCGAGTCGGGCGCGACCTCGCCGGCTCCGTTGACGCCTAATTCGAAAGTTAAAGCATTGATGGCTACCTTCGACGACGACGACTCCTCCGACGATGGGATCTTACCTGCTGGACCTGCGAGAGCAAGAGTAGTGTCCGCGTTGACCAGGAGATCGCCTGCGAAAGACAGTACATCTACCGAGTCAAGGCCGTCCGAACACCCTACAGGAAATTTCATGCAAGAGAGTGTAGAGAGTGCTTCCGAGGAAGACGAGGAGGATATTGTACGACCAAAGGGACGGATGGCTGCTAGGATGCAAGCAAATAGTGACAGTTCTGAGGAGGATGGCGAACCAAGTGCTGGGAACGCCAGGGAGAGAGTAAGGAAGATGCTCATGTCGAAGAACAAATCATCATCACCGAAACCAACTACACACACCGAAGAGGCAGACGCCAGCAGTGAAAACGATTCACCGGTCCCACGGAAACGAAAACTACGCGTCGCGCGTGCTGAGTCGAGCCCTGCCAGGAGATCCGCGTCTCCAGGTCTGTTTGTCTCCCCCACGAAGTCTACAACGTCTGATGTAGAGGCTGCTGGATCCGCCTCCGATGCCGACTTGCCAGACACCGGAAATGCTCGGTTCCAAGCCCTTGTTGCGAAGAAGAGAGAGGAACGTCAGGCCAAGGATGCAGAGGCTGCGAGGGAGACAGCGAAGAAGGCCGAGGCGCGGAGGAAGCTTGCAGCAACACTCGAAGATGACGACTCGGAGGATAGCGAGGGAGATAGACGTCTAATGCAATCGTCACGACCAGCCCGCAAAGCCAGCAAGAAGGCACTAGAGGAGATGCACAGAGAGACACAGCGACTGAGCCGGAACATGCAATTGGCACACAAAGCCACGACGAAGAAAAAATTCACCAAAGCTGATTTCTTCGCAAAGTTTAATCGAAGCGATCACAAGGAAGTGACCCCGGAGCCCCCTCGTCCAACGAGCTCGAGCTCTGCTGCACCACCTTCGGATCTTGAGCATAAGGATACACCGCCCACTTCACCCGTAACCCATGCTACCGATAGCAAGGAGGCCCAGTTACTTGCCAGTCATCCAACGCTTGAAGATGCCATTGATGGTCCAGACGAAGAGCTACAAAATCTCGATGAGGCGATGAGAATCCCATCCTTCCCACCGACAAGACTGAATAAAGGCAAAGGAAAAGTGATCGAGAAACCCACCCTGGAACCCGAGGCGAAAGTCGCAGTAGTTAAGAAACCCTTGTTTACTCAGAGACCCGTCCGTGTTCGAGTAGCAAAGGTAGCCGACCGGAGAACGTCCCTATTCGAGGAGTCCGACAGCGACCTCGAGATTATCTCTGCAAAGGCAATTGGTCGGAAGCAGCAAGATATCGACTCCATATTTGATCGCGTACCAGCCAAGCTTGCAAGGGAGTCTCACTCTATCCATACCCTACGGATGTTGGCAGGAGTTACATCACCTGGCAAGCAACAAAACCCGGAACGCAAGTTTGGCCGCAATGCGAAACCTTCATTGACAAACTCGGAACTCCAGATGTCGCTTCAACAACGCGCGAGACAGCAAGCCACTAGGGAGAGAGAGGAGCGTATACAAGCTTTGAGAGACAAAGGTGTTGTTGTACAAACTGCGGAAGAAAGAGAAAAGGAGCTGGCCGAGGTCGAGGACATAGTTGCAAGAGCGCGTCGTGATGACGAGGCACTTGCAAAGCGTGAGAAAGCACTAGCCAAAAAAGAGCGAAAGGAGAGAGGCGAAGCGGACCCACTGGGAGACGATAGTAGTGATGACGAGGATTACAAAGACTCTGAAGGGGTACCCGACGAAGAAGCTTCCGCATCTGGTTCTGAAGAAGAGGACGAGAGAGATGAAGAGTCAGTTGATGGAAGTGGTGAGGAAGCGGAGGATGAGAGGGAAGCTGATGGCCATGAACCTGAGGCTGCTGTGGCCAACTCGATGTTCGACGGCGAAGCCGCTGAATCTGCTGACGAGTGGGCCGAAGATGAGGTCGATTTATCAATTCATGAAGACATGGCCGACGAGGACGAAGAGGAGGAACTTGCCACGAGGCAGAAGACCCGAAGATTCAGGAACGCCATCGTAATTTCAGACGACGAAGATGACGACGAGCAGGAGATGCAAGAGCACCCACCTGCTTTACCACAAGTCTCGCCACCATCACTAGGTACCAAGTCGCCGATGATACCGACCTCCGTTCTTCGCTCAGCAACGAAAACTTTCATTCCGGGAGTCACTGTAGCTGGACCCGCTGGTCTTGGGCTGACACAGATCTTTGCCGGCACCATGGATGACAGCCAGGCATTCGGAGCTTCTGCGACTTTCACTGAATCCGAGTCGCAGGAAGTTGAGTTCAATCAAAACAAGATGGACTTCTTGCGACGTCTCAAGGCTCCAGAGCTCCCGCCTTTCGTTCCAACACTAGAAGAGGACACCCAGGATGCCGAAATTTTCACTCAAACTCAGCTCACATATGTTCCCAACTCGCAACCTGTTGAGACAGAAACTCAAGGTGGTGAGACTCAAATTCGGCTGGACTTTTCTCAATCGCAGATCCACGAATTCGACAGTGTCGTCCATGGTACCCAAGTGTCGCAATTCGCCCCCACCCAAGATGTTGGTTACCAGCACCTGACCCCTATAAAGGGTAGGTTCGTTGATGGTCCACCGTCTACAGCTGATACTTTTGTTCTTGAGCCGATAGGTGTGCCTGCGACTATTGAAAAGACACCTATTGTGAAGAAAAAGGGAAAGCTACGTCAGAGGGCGCAAGTTGCAAAGTTCTCCGATGATGATATTTCCGATGGGCCCGTCGAGGAGGATACGGAGGGGGAGGACTTTGGCATCACCGCAGACGCGTTTGATGTTATGCGTAAAGCTACCAAGAAGGCGGCGAAAAAGGTTGCAGTCGATGAATTCGATAAAAAGAAGAGCAAAGCAAAAGAAATGGTCCACGAGCAGGCTGACGAATCCGAGGACGAATATGCGGGACTCGGAGGTGCAAGCGATGACGAGAGCGATGGAGAGGCGGATGAGTTTGTGAAAGAATTGATCGATGACGAGGGAGGAAAGAGTTTTGACGAGAGGAAGCTTGCTGCGTTCTTTGCGTAAGTCAGCCGAAAGTGTCTCTGGGATAATTGCTAATAGTGGAATAGTGATCGCGAGCGAGCAAGCGATGAGAAGCAAATCGAGAAACTCTACAAAGACATCACAAACGGTATGCTGCGGCGCAAGCGAGGAGCCGACTACGATCTTTCTGATTCCGACGACGGCGGAGAAGCAAAGCAGCGCAGAAAGCGTAGGCAATTCGCCAAAATGCGCAAAGCTCTGCTCGCTGATGAGCGTATTGGCAAGATCGCTGAAAACCCAAAACGACAAGCTTTCTTACGTGCCATTGAGGACCGCGGAAGCGATGACGAACTAGGCTTCCTCGATGACTTTGTCGAGCAAGAAGAGGAAACCGATTCCCAATCCCAGTCCCAAAGCGAAAGCACACCAGCAGAAGCTGTACCCATGGGACCGCACAAACGCAAACATGACGCCAAATCATCAGAACTACCAACTAGAGCCCCACCCCATCTCCGCCGCACCAAACCCGCCAAAAGGCCCTCCAACCTCTCCGAAATCCGCGAATCACTTTCTAGCCTTATCGAGGAACCCAACGCCCTTCTCGCGCCATCGGACTCCGGCTCGGAATCCGAAGGAGAGCTTCAATTTGAAGAAGGCGACGACGACCTCAGCGGCCCTCGCAAGGAGAAGAAAGAAAAGGGGAACAGAGATCCGTTTGCCTTGCGCCGTTCCAGCACCGCCGTTGTGGACCGCATCTCGCTTAAGCGGCAGTCGTCGAGCACGGTGTCCAATAGCGCCAAGTTAGCTTTCTCCGTCAGCTCGACAACGCAAGGCTTTAAAGTCCCGGCTCTATTGAGACGTGCGACGACGAATAACAGCATGGCTAGTTCTTCGAGCTCGAGTGTAAGCAATAATTTCACGTCGGGAACGGAACGCATGGCAGGGGGCATGAGCGGCGAGGGCGTTAGGAGGGGCGGTGGCAGGAACAGCGGTGTTAATTTTGCGGCTCGAGAGTTGGAGCGCAGAGCTGCGGTCGTGAAGACCGATAAGAGGCGGGAGGAGAGGCTGGTAGGGAGGGCGGAAAAGAGGCGGAAGGTTGTGGGTGGATTGTTCGGTGGTGGGAAGTTTGAGTAGAGTGGAAGAGGGGTGTACGTTTCTTCTGAAGGTCGATTATAGGTGTTGCTAAGGGGCAGGCGTCAGGCATGTTGGTCACTGGGTTGGATAGGTAGTCTCGTGGCGGATTGATCAGTCTCACGGGATTGTGTAGAGTAATAATGGGGGTGGGTTTGGATTACTCGTCTGTCTGGCATACACAGGCAACAGCAGAATGTGTTCTTCAACTAAGTCAAAGGTCTATCTATATCAGCATTAGTGAAGCACGTCCGTCCGTATCAACTCCTCTGTATTATTTTCTATATCGACGTTGTAAGCCTAGGTAGGTTATTATCCGCCTGACGTGAATGGAAATTGTCGGACTACTACGGTCGTTGTGGACTCAGCACGGGATGACCTTGGCACATGAGGGTGGCACGTGCACCCGTGTCCTATCCCCTCAAGGGACTACCATAGCTAGTAGGTAGGAAGGGGATAACCATCATGAATACAACAACAATCACGCATAGACTAGTCTAGCAACAATGACCTGTGATACCAACAGAAATCATTATTGTTGGTGGGCTATTCATTGGTGTTATATATAACAAGTACAACTGGCCTACCGAGTGTCTACTTACGGAAGGTGGGGGGAGGATTGTTTCAGGTTACCTACTTACTGGGTATATCTTGGCAATTCGGCTTGGGAGTTGGGACTTGGGACTTGGGACTTGGGTAATTGTCCGTATATTCGTACGCTCGTAAGCTTGCTTGCTTGCTTGCTCTGCTGGAGCCAAGGGCCAGTTCAGTTCAAATTGTAGGTAATAAGTAATACGGAAGGAACTCCGCCACGGGGTTTCATCTCGGGCGGCGAGAAAGCTTGAGCCTGTCTGACTGACTCCCAACCGGATCTGTTGACCTTGATGAAGTTGGGTGCCTTTTGATATGATATGATGTGTATGATATGATATGATAAGATGTGATATTGTTTTAGAGAAGAGGCGTGACTTTAGGCCTTCGCTTATGCCGGGGCCTTTGAGAGTATGTTTAGGTAAGTAAGGTCTTGTTTTTTTTGTTTTTTTTCGTGCCCGACGTCGTTAACGACTCGCTTAATCTTTCAGATGAAGCGAAGCTCGGTACGTCTTATGGGCATTGTTAACGAGAGAGAGAAGGGGCTCAGCCTCAGACGGTGATTATCTGTCGTCGTTGCTTGTTTATGTTGTTGTGATGGTTCCGCGCACAGCCACTGACCTCGGGCCTCGGACCTTGCTTGACCCCTCCCTTCGTCATTGAGGTCAAGTCATCTAAGTATCTGCACATCTCGGCATTTCGAAAATCCTGTTTCTATTTTGGAAGATATATTTTCTTGATTGAATAATCCCCCGTATTTTTCACCTTGCCAAGCTATACTGAATCGGCTTAGCTTGGCCCCAACATCTATGGAATCTTCCTCATCTTCATCCTCGTCCTCCCACGCCCACTCACACAACCTCATTTCTCGGTCGCTGACATACACCTCGTCGCGTTCTCGCTCGCCAGTCACAACCAAGCAAATACTACACAACATCACGTAGCACGGCACGGCACAGCACAGCACAGTCATCTTTGCAGCACCGCGGTCACGACGGCGCGCCTGAATTTTCTGTCGGGGCGGAGCCCGTCGTGGAGAAGAAGGAGCCTCCTCTCAGCCATCGCGGAAGACGGCTGCACCCCTCAACCCCAACCTCAACCTCAACCTCAACCTCAATCCCAACCACCAACCTCAACCACCATGGAGAACATGCGCGGCGTGCGACGGAAGGATACCACCAAGGGTCCTCCCCTCCGTATTCTGTCTCTGGGTAAGCGCGGGCAGGCAGGCAGGATCTACCAGCTTTGGAGGGCAGCTCGCTGACAGATCGCAGACGGAGGTGGCGTGCGAGGTTACTCGATGCTCATTATCATTCAAGAGCTCATGCATAGAACATTCGTCGAGATGGAAGGCCGAGCGCCCAGAAGGCATGAGATCCCGAAGCCGGCAGATCATTTCGACCTCATCATCGGAACCGGAACCGGAGGCCTGATCGCCATCATGCTGGGAAGGTTGCGCTTGGATCTGGAGACGTGCAAGGAGGTCTATGTGCGCATGACCAGGAAAGTCTTTGAGACGGACAAGACCATCGCCGGAATACCGTACCGGTCGACGCTGTTCAAGGCTTCGAAGCTGGAGGAGGCTATCCGGGAGTGCGTGAGGGAACACACCATACTGACGCGGGAAGGTAACGACGGACAGGAGCCGGAGGGTCTGGCAGGCCTGAACAGCCCTGTCAGCCCTTTAAACAGCAGAGGTGGGCCGCGGCGCCATGGTAGCAATGCGAGCGTGGCAAGCTTCAGTGCCAGAAGTCCGTCTAGCTGGCAAAATAAGACGCCGGTGGATTGGAGATATGGAAACGCGGATGCCGTATTATACGACAACAGGGAGAATAGGACGAAGACGTAGGATTTCCCCCTCTCTTATCTTGCCAGGTTAACCAGATCTAGATGTGTGACGGCAATATATCAAGGTACCCCGAAGGGTGGCCTACCAGCACTTTTACGATCTTATGATTCACGAAAGGAACCCCCTCCCGAATTCGATTGCACTATTTGGCAAGCTGGAAGAGCTACTTCAGCAACCGGACTAGCATTCAAACCTATTCAGATAGGGCAGTCGGTTTTCATCGACGAGGGCGCAGGACAATATAATCCTGCACCATTTGCGCTGGATGAAGCTTGCGTAAATGAGTGGCCCGGCCGCGACGTCGGTGTGTTTATAAGCATCGGGACAGGCAAAAGACCTACGGGTCCTGGAAGCGACCAAAACTCGCATCTCTGGTATGAAGGATTTATGAGTGACTTTGCAGAGGCCAGACGGCGACTTATTTCGAAAATCGAAGGCTGCGAGCAGACACACCAATACATGCTGAAAGGAGGTCTTAGCAAACGTGGAGTGAATATCGAGAATTACTACCGCTTCAATGTCGAGATCGGCGTCGGGGAGTTCGGAATGAATGAATGGAATCGTCTCGCAGATATTAGTACTGGAACGCGCCGGTATCTCGGGAAGGCTCAGGTGCAGCACATGAATATCGCAGCGGCAGCGAAGCTCGCTAAGGTGCTTCGCGCGAAGGCCCGCTTCGAAAGCGAAAAGAAAGGAGGAAGCACGATCGGTAGCTATATGGATTTGCCGCTTCCCGACGTACCCGAAGCCTACGCAGGAGCCGTCGAACTTGCAGCCGAGGTCCCCATCCTCCCATCGAGGTCCCCTCCTCCACGCCCCTCCTACGAGTCAGGGAACCACGATACTCTTGAAGTCCCCGGTCAGGGCCAGGTTCAACAGAGCTTCTCGCGACGCGCGTCCAACGAGTACAAAGCCCGCCACTCACCACACAATTCCAACTCCAGTATCACAGACCCCAGCGTCGATCATCCCGATCGCCTAATCTTTCATTCTCCCACCCCGAGCCAGTACCATACTGGGGGCGGCGGAGATCTGATCTCTATCACAAGTTTCGATGAGGAGCCTCACCCCCCACCAAAGACACAGCCGGTGAGGGTTGAACCACCGCCACTGCCTCCCAAGACGCCAATACAAGATCTAGGTAGTGACGGCCAAGTTATGGGCAAGTCCAGACCGGCGCTGCCTTACCCGATTCACGACAGACCGCCGCCGGTTGTTAATATGTTGAGGAAGCCGGAATACACGGGACGATGAGATTATGACTGGCAAGTGAATTTGGGAACGCATCTGGCTGGGTGGACAAATGGATGTATGGATTATGATTTTTCGGCGTTGGGATAGGAAACTAGGTTGGGTTGGGCTGGGCTGGGTATACCTCTTGTGTATTTAGCTTGAACATCGTTGACTTGGCAGGAATAGGTTGTGATGTGATGGGATCAAAGTGAGATGACATGATATAATGAAATAATTCGTTTGTTTGTTCATCTATACCAACCGTAACTCATGATCGATCGATCACCTTGCCTTTACCTACCGCATGATTTCACAGCGCAGAGCGCGGTTATATCACCTTGTAAGTAAGTCAGTAAGGTAAGTAACCCTTCTATCAGAAGGAAAGACTCGATTATCACCCACACTCTCTCCCTTCTGGATTCTCCAGGACGATAATCCAGCCATACCGGCTATGGAAAGGGAGAGGTCGTCAACGTTCAGCCAACGTACGTACGACATACAGCCGTAGACGTAGACGCGGCCGTGGGGATACTGAGCTAGCTAGCTGTTGTGATGGGTAGGATTAGAATGTACCTACCTACTTACGTACCTACTTTAGTATTTACCTTGGATAGATAGATATACGGTGAGGTGAGGTAAGGTAAGGTATGTGTGTATGTCTATTTACGGATACGGAGAAACCTTGCGGACAAGAAAGAGCCTTGACTTTTTATATGTATATAGTTTTTTTTTTTTTAATATATATATTTTAATATCTGTATATGTAATATAATATAAAATAATATGTATATAGATGGAATAATCGTGTGTTACCTTAAATTCAATCCGAAAGAATTGACCGACTTGCTGTAGATGGTGAGATACCGAAAGGGGAAGGCACGCTACGGGCGAGAAAGCGTAGGTTTTCGAAAGCCGACAACAACAACAACAACAACAACAACAAAAAGGTAATCCAAGAATGGTTCGAGACTTAAAGCCGCGAGGATTGCTCGTTGTTTCGGCACCCCATACAAATCCGTAGAAACTGTACAGTCACTTTTTGACCTGACTCAGTTTGTGAGTTTGTACGCGAGCCAAGTCTGAACTTCGCTAGTCTTGCCACAACCTTTGCTGCAATCTGAAATTTCGTAATCCACTTTTACATTACGGAGAATCCACGTACGTCAGTCAGATTGTACTTTACAGAAAATCACAACGTATCGAAGTCACGAGAAGTACGAGTCGAAATCTCTTACCGATTCATTCGATTTCCTTGATCCTTGAACCAAACGTCGTCTTGAATTATCGATTTGTACAAACCGTATTTTACCAACTAGAGTTGCTACAGACCCAGTTTTGGAGCCCGTTTTCACAAGCCGGCTTTGGAACCAGACGGGCCGCTCCCGCAGATGCAAGCGAAGATACTCTACTAAAATATTCTTGCATTTTGAAGTTGCATAACGAGATGTACAACTTGATCCAATCTGTTTGGCTCGTAAGTATCAACTTTGTAAGATGAGCATTTTGATCTTGCAACTTAAAGATACACTACATGAAGCGCAGTTGCAGCAAACAGCTCCAACTCCCAAGTTGCGAGCTCAAGTTGCCAACTTTTTTCTCCTCTTTTTCTATTTAATAACGCCTTTTAACGACACTTTCTTACAGTAGCCCCTTCGAAAACTATTCTGAAGAAGCGCAATTTACGAAAATCGTTATATCGATACTATTATTACTATTATAATATGATACGCCTGACGCAATCACTTAAAAAGAATGATGAGTATAAAGCTAGATGGATTGCAATAAAGAGGGAGACAAGTACGGGGAAGTTGCCAGGGACAAAGCTGGGCGCATTGGAATTAGGAAGGGAAACAGTACGAAGAGAGTATCAGGGATTTAGAAGAGGAAGCAGTACGGAGAGAATTTCAGGGATATAGCTGCACGCATTGTTCCCTCTAGATAATACAGACAGTAATTTACAAGCGATGCCGTTGCACACCTCACCACGAGTAGTATTGTCGCTGCGCAGTGATCGGTCTGTTTGGCAATTGTACCCAGACCTTGCGCCTTGCCTCTTTCGCCTCGCGCTCTTCATGGAGACGGATTCGCGTCTTCTCCTCCTTCAACACAAGAGTCAAACCTACTACTGTTAGCAGGATTCCAATGGAAGCCAGGGCAACACATACCAGTCGTGGGGTTCCTCATCATGTTGATTTGACCTCTCGCCCTATAGTCCGGAGTAGTTCCAAACGGCCCTCTTCCGCACCAGGCCTGCTCTACCCAAAGCGTGGTAGGATTTGTCACCTTGACTCTTTTGCCATCCTTAGTCATGATAATCCTGGGTTGGAACTTCTCATCAACACCTAGCCCCAGCCCCATCCCTCTCTTGACAATAGCCTGGTTCCTGGCATACTCCAGATGCTCTTTGACATCCTTAGCAGCTTTTTTCTTCGAGAATCGCATCTGCACAATCGCGTCCTCGACGGTCTTGCCCGTAATTTGCTTGGCGAGAGGAAGAAGCTTCTTGACCGAGGTCTTGAAATCGTGGCTCTTCGCCTGCAACACTCTCTCCTCCTTCTTCAGCTGTTCTGTCTTGGTCATCCGCCCCCTTCTGGTTATGTCCCGAATCACCATCTTGCGCTCCCATCGTAGTCTACTCTTGGGATCGGGGTCTAATGACGCAGCCATAGTCTCACGATCCCGTGGGATATTTTCCTGTCCGCCCTTGGTCGCTGCAGCATCCGGCTTGGGTCCGGCAATCTTCTCATCCTCGAAGATGGATGACGGGGAGAGATCTCCTCGTTTGGGGGGGCCCCTAGCAGCCGTGGGCTTCTTCCGTAGGTACTCCTCGGTCAGCGGGTTTAGGTTCTTATTCTTGTTGGTTGCATCCTTTCGGAAAGGCGTCCAGGATCGGATATCCCAAATAGATACAGAGCGTCGTTGCGTCGTGGATGTGAGAACGTCGCTGGGTGCTCGAGGGGATGACACCAGCACGGCGGCTATGCATCAATCAGCTTTTGAATCCACGCGAAATTCCATCGGCAATACATACCGGATCTTGCAGCCCGCCGCGAAGGAAGTTGTAGACTCATGGTGGCGGTCGGGAATAAAGCTATTCCCCTTCACCCACGCAAAGAGACACCAGTCTGTGTCAAAAACTCGTAAAAGCTGATTATGGTCACGTGGTGATATGATATATGTGGGGCAGGCTAAGATATGCCAGCCTACAAGCTCTATGAATAAAGCAGCAGCTCCGAATTCGACAAACCGCGTGTAAGATAGCACTCCAACAACTCGGGGAAGCACTTTAATGGTAAAATAATCACCTTCGAAGCGCGATATTCGGCCAACAAATTCGAGAGTCAACAAGTAGGGACAATGGCCGATCCGGTGGGAGAAGACGGATGGCTTGCGCTCCTCGACGAGGCAAGTAGGACCGCCTGCGACCTTACTCAGAGAGTCGCGGTCGTCGAGCTGTACACACAACGTGCGCTCGTCGCAGAGCCCTGGTCGATGAAGTTGTGGTTGGCCTATTGCGAATGGTTCTGGTCCCTGCATACCGACTGCCAAAACGGCGACGCCGGATGGCCCAAGGAGGAACAGGAAGCTGGGAAAGAGATGTTCTCTATGGCCGCGGCGATCAAGGTATGGAAGCAGGGCGCCGCGGCGACAGAGTACCGAATCAACGACAGCCATGAGCTTTGGGATCGATGGGTCTCAATCGAGCTTGCGCATCTTGCCACCGACCCGAGGAGGGAGCATATCGAGCGTCTCAAGGAAATGTTTTTTATTCGATTGCAGACACCCCATGCAACGTGGGAGGAGACCTCGCAAACTTTCTCGTCATTCCTCACGAAGTACGACCTGCCAGCTTGGGAAACTACGATGGTCGCGATTACAAACAAATCGAGGGCTGCGAAGGATCTGTACAGCAATCGCGCAGACCATGAGTTGAAGTTGAAACGTGCCGTGGAATCGGGTAGTGCTGAGGCGGCCAAGTCACAGATGCTAGCATATCTAGCTTGGGAATCAATCCAGCACTACAAGAAGAGAAAAGCATGGGAACCTCCGAGTCCAATGGTTCTCTTGGTTGCTTTGTATGAAAGAGCACTCGCTGGAACCACTCTTGGATTAGATCCTAGCGTGTGGGAGGAGTACGTGATTTTCCTTACCAGAAACAAGGACCAAGCCGCCGAAAACCAACTACCGCCAGTGCTTTCTGTGATTCCCCGAGCTACGAACCATTGCCCGTGGTCAGGGGCGCTGTGGGCACGCTATATTCTCTCAGCAGAGTCCGAGTCGCTCCCCTTCTCTACTATGGAGGCGATCAAACATCGCGCGACCAATACCCGTGAATTGGATCGCGACGGAATGGGCAGTGTCATCGAGTTCTACACTGCGTGGGCCGGGTACTTGAAAAGATTGACCGAAAATGCTGGAGCCACTGAGGAAGACAGAGATGTTGCAGATATGGGTCTTCCAACTGCATTAGAAGATGTTCGAGAATGGGGAAAGCGAGTGGCTGGAAGGGATAATTGGCAGGGCGACCCTCTGTTTCGCCTGGAGCATATCTTCATCCAACATTTGACAAGGAAACATGCATACGATGAAGCTCGGATTCAATGGAAAAATCTCACCCACACCGCTGCAGCTAATGGATACGAGTTTTGGCAACAGTACTACTTATGGGAAATGGTTGTCCGAGGTCCAACTGGTCCGGTCACACTGGCTACCGATGTTTTAGCTCAAGGCGTTGCATACAGGAACTTGGACTGGCCAGAAAAGCTGATTGAGGTCTACCTCCGGCATTGCAACAACTATGAGCAAATCGACACATTACTAAAGGCAATGGGATTTACAAACCGACTAGCTCGAAACATCGCCAACAGGCGTAAGAAAGAGGCAGAGGATGCCGCGATCGCCTATGCTCAACTGCAACCTCAGACAGAGGCAGAGCCCTCGGCTGAGGGTGAGACGTCGTCTGGGGCGTCGAAGAGAAAGCGCGAAACGGCGGTGGAAAACCTCGATCCCGGCGCCCAAAAGAAGGTGAAATTCGCTGATGAGGACGCACTACGGGAGCAACACCTGAAGCGTGACCGAGAGAACACAACCATTCTTATAGAAAACCTGCCACCTGATGTTACTAGCACAAAATTTAGGCAGTATTTGAAGGAGTACGGACATTTGAATAACATCACGCTGCGTACTGAGGCAGACAAGCAATCTACGACGGCTATGGCAGAATTTAGTACCCACGAGGAAGCACAGTCTGCGCTCTTGCGAGACGGCAAGTACTTCGGCGATAGGCAAATCCGAGTCACCCCTGGGACTGGCCTGACTCTTTATGTGACGAACTATCCGCCCACCGCTGATGAAAATTACCTTCGGAAACTCTTCAAAGAATGTGGTGAGATTTTCAGCATTCGTTGGCCGAGTCTCAAGGTCAATAGCCACCGGAGATTTTGTTACATATCTTTCCGAACCGTAGATGCTGCGGCAGCGGCGACTAAGCTGGATGGCCAGTCGCTCGGTGGTATGTACAAGCTAGTCGCAAAACACTCTGACCCACCTAACAGGCAGAAGCGTCAAGGTGCATTGGCAGAAGGAAGAGAGATTCATGTCACGAGCATAGATCCGAGCATAACGCCAGACGAATTGGAGAAGCTATTTTCGAAATATGGAAAGGTTGAGAGAGTGAATCTCTTGACGAAAGTTTCGGGAGAGAGCAAAGGGGCCGCGTTCGTGTCGTTTGCAACGAAGGAAGGAGCTGCTGCGGCTTTGGATTTGGACAAGACAAAACTCAAGTCTAGAGTTCTCAACGTTGAGATGGCAGGAGCCACGAATTTTAAACCGACGGCAACGACCTTCAGCAAAAGATCGTCTGCATCGCCAGGTCCCGCCGGCGATTATGCCATGTCACCTTCTCCGGCCGCCGCCGAATCCCTCAACACCCACGCTCAGCATACCTCGGGCGGCGGCATATCGAACCGGACCCTTTGTCTCATGAACATCCCCGATACGGTGAACGACGCGCGAGTGCGTGCTCTCGCAGAGTCTTATGGCGAAATTCTAAAACTATCCTTACGACTTGATCACCAAGGAGCGATTATCGAGTACACGGACGCCGCATCTGTAGGTAAAGCCGCTCTAGCTTTAGAGAACCATGAGATTGTTCCCGGTAGGAAGCTCAGAACGGGAGGGCTGAAAGATCTATTTGCGGAGAAGGAAGAGACGAGGAGTGATCGGATACAAGTTGGCCAGGCTAAGATGCCAGCCGCCGGATTCATGCAACCGGCGGCTTCTGTTAGGAGACCCGTCGGCCCTGGTGGCAGAGGTGGCCTTGGACAGAAGAGAGGTCTAGGCTTTGGTGGTCCGAAGACTTCGGGCGAAAACAATACACAAGTCAATGGCCAGCAGAAAGCGGAGGGCGGCGCGGTTAATAAGCCGAAGAGCAATGCTGAATTTAAGGCTATGTTTATGAGTGGAGGTACGCAATAGCTGTGATTCTTAAGAGTATGTGAGCATCAGCCGCTGCTCATCACAATGAATAGCAACTGCGCTAGTCACACCTGACGGCTTCTTTTATTGACTGTGTTCTCATTCAGAGGTGATAACGTATTGACCTCGCTTGAATTTCCCCTTCATCTGCCTTTGTGTTTCTGTTCAAGTTTATGGCTGTCAGAAACAATTTTTGGACCAACCCAACCTCGGACAGCCGAAGCGCCAGGGGTCGGAAAGCTGGCTTCGCCAAGCGAGACCAACGACCAACGACCCATCTTCCGACCCATCCTGAAACGGTAAATCCATTGGTTATCGCCAACGATTGACTATGCCGCCGTACTATCAAGGCTATTGCTCTGACAAGATGGGTACTAGGCAAAGCAATATGGAGTTATCTGCAGGGGGCAGAGCTGATTCTAGCGCTTCAAGAAACGGTCCGTTTGTTTAGAGGCAGTATAAATAAGTAAGTCAATGTCGTGGCGGGCTGGTTTGGTCGTGATCTTTACTTATCGTTCATATATTGCTGAAATGTACCGCAGGTTCTGAATACGGTATACCTTCTTCTTTGACTCAGCTGGTCCAGAGTCAACTGTCAGCTAGGTAGCTAGCTATATTGTGCTAGTACATCTAGAGACCATTATCCATGATTACGGCACCTCCATCGATCAAATAAAAACACCACAATGGGTCGCCCCGGCACCCTCCCCATAAATCGCCCTCACAACCACGATAGAGGAAACATCAAACCTGTCGCTCGAAGTGCAGCGTTCGAAGTAACCATCCACGTCCCACAAGCCCACCTTCCTTTCAGACCCAACAACAACAGCCGCTTCCAACCCTCTCCCACCCCGCCCACCCGTCCCAATGCTACCCTCAACCGCCAAAACAGCGCGCAGACCCGCTACATGACCATGCTGCTCGCCCTCGATACCATCCCGCGCCTGCACAACATCCTCGCCGCCTTCTTCACCTGGATCCTGCTCGCCGGCTTCGTCATCTTCCCGGGGACCTTCACCTCGCTGCGCTCCCTCGAGGACACGTCCAACGAGGCGGCGGCCGCCATCGCGAAGACGGCCAAGAACATCCCCCTGCTCGTCATCGCCGGGACGAGCTGCGGCGTCGGCGCGCTGGGCATGCTGTGGCTGTGGTGGACGTGGCGCGGCAACTACGTGTGGCTGCTCAACCGCATCTTCCTGCCGGGCTGTCTGAACAGCCTCGCCGGCCTGATCAGCAGTCTGGTGGGCGTGTATACGCAGCAGCGGGGCGCGTGGAGCGTCACGGCGAGGATCACGGCGATGGTGACGGCGGGGTGCATGCTGGTTACCGGGGGCTTGTTCGGGCTGTACAACTTCTGGATTCTGGAGCGGGTGAAGCGGCGGCATGGGCGCGAGATGGGGGAGAGTGGGAGTGTGAGCGGGAGTGCGGGGGAGGAAGGGTTCATGGAGAAGATTGGGAGGAAGGCTCACCAGCCGGCCTTGGCGCCCGGGAGTGTGGTCTGATGGAAGCGGATCTCGGCGTGATCTTTTCTTTGATCTAGGAGATGTTGGTGGCAGCGGAGAGATTTGTAAGAGACCTCAGGCCAGACACATCTCACTGTACTCTCCCTTGAACGACAACTTGTATCGGAAAGAAGGAAAGCAGAGATGAAAACCAGCTCGAGGTGAAAGTGCCATGGCGGAGATTAATTCAACCCTCCAACCAAGCACGGCTTGTTCATAAACTGGCATATAAAAGTAATGCAAGGCTTGGGGATCCTACGATCGCCTTTCTAGCTTCAGTTCAGAAGAAAGCTGTGCGCAACTTTGTCAAATTCTCCCAGATAGGGATTCTGAGCGCCTGGATATCTTATTCGCAGGCGTCGAGACTGTCTACAAGGCTACTGTTTCCTTCATCCAGCCAGGAGCGTTAAGAGGCGTGCTTCTTCAATGGTCTCCACCTGGTCGCTCTTCACAAGCTTCCTTCGGGGTAAAAGCTTCAAAGGTCACTACTTCTTACTTACATCAGTCTCTGTTGTGTCTGGTGTAGCGGTGGTGTGTGATCGCCTCGGGAGCTAGCCCTTTAGACCGGCCACAAATGCACGTAGAGAAGAAAGCTTAAGCTCTGTATATTCTTCCAACGAGAGAGGATTCCAAGCGACTCCAAGACCTGAGGCCAGACCCTCCGACGATAGATCAGGACTGGGCCTGCGAGAATCCCCGCTCCGCCATAAGAATATCTCTCCTTGCCCACTTCGCGTTCCATGGCATGTGCTGCACATCATTGAACTGATCGCCTTCCTCTACTCGCATCCCTACGCCACCCCCCGCTCCTCCGACAGCAGACCAGCGCTCCCCTCCCAGATATCCATCCCGAGTTTCCTCCTCTGCATCAAGATCGTCGAGCACTGCGGCATCCGAACCGTCCAGCGGTTCCCCGCCGACACCGTCGTCGGCAGCCCAGAACCGCACCACAAAGCCGTGGCCTGTCTCGTGAAGGCGGCGCGGGAACGGACGGCCTGATACGGCGGTCACATGAACATATTACATATTGAGGAAGTTGGATCCGGCGGACTTCGACGTGTGGGTGGACGCGAGGAAGGAGAAGCTCGCGTGGGACCCCGCGGCTCCGCTTCGGCGCTGTTCGCGACGAGAGAGGACGTGGATCACGTTTATTACGTGCTGCATATGATCTTTGTGACCCCCCGCCCGTCTCTAGGGGTACGGCCTGAGGACTCAAGTGCTCGTGGGTGGGACTAAACTAACCGTGGGGTGGGTGATGGCTGCTGATGCAGTTATGTGCCTGCCGTTCGTTCTGGCGTGGATCGACTTGGTAAGGTCGAGTGTGTGGTCTCTGAGGGTCGGTGCGATTGCAAGACAGTTGAGGGAGGACCTCATGATGGGATGTAACTCGTGGGATCCTGAGAAAGGGGGAGCGGAGTGTTCGCGAGGAGCTGGCCTATTTGATTGAGGAGTTACTCAAGGACGAAAACGACAGTAGCAAGAAGGCTCATATGCGACGGGAGGGACAGGTACTGGCTATCGTCGAGACGATTGTTTGCCACAGGTCGGATTGGGAAATAATAGCTTAATTTCGGACAATCAAATCGTGCATTTAGCGAGATATTGGGCGCGCTTCGAGCTCTGCCATCTGCCATTGTGAGGAAGGGGGAGGACCGGGGGGGATCAATTGATGAAAAACAAGATTTCGAAAAGTACATTCGATCATCAGATATTGAATTTTGGATCCGATGGCGGATGATGGAGGTACTCAGCTCGGGGTACAGAAATTGCCAAATGCCCGCCCATATTTTGAAGCCCTCCCCAAAACGCCAGCGCTATGCAAACAAACATAAAGTAATCCAGAAACATGATCCTGTCCTTCACGGTCTTGGGGTCAACAAGAGCTTGAGCATCCCCTGTGCCTGCAGCATTTGCTGTATCGTTTCCGCTTCATTGTTGACTCTTCGATGCAGCGCCTTGAAACACTTTTCTATAGCTTCCGACTCCACTACTCGCTCCCGGTACAAGTCGACGAGGATATCGGCCGCTTCGTGGGTGACCTTGGCGTATTTCGGGTATGGCAGGTATTTGCTGACCCACTTGAATATCGGTAGAATCGTCGCCTCCTCTCTATCCTCCAACGCAATCTTTAGCGCATTGCGATATCTCAACTCTTGCAAGACTTCGAAGACCTTGGACGATGGCAAGTTTGGCTCTAGAACTGCATCTAATGCATGTGCGTATTTGCCTTGGCGTAAGTCTCTCTCCCAAACAGTCTCTGGTGCTGGTCTCCGCTCAACATGGATGTTGACTTTTTGTACTGCTGATTGTTCCGCGGTGGTATTTTTTGCAGCTTCTTTGTTCTTCCTCGTCATTTCTTCTGCTCTCTTGCGCTTCTTGTTCTTCGCGTCGTATTCGTCTAATGTCCCTTCAAGCAGCGCCTCCATCTCCTTCTTCTTCTCTCGCACCTCGGCCTGTTCCTTCCCCTTTAGACGAGTCTTCACTGATAATCCTCCCGACTGCATTCCGACCGCGAGAATCCTATCCTCCTGGTTCGGGCCTGATGCGATGACGTTAACCGAGAGAACTGGTGATGGGTATTTGGATCCGGCAACAACGTTCCACTGTGAAGTTTCGAAGATCTTGATGTGGCCGTCTAGTCCTCCACTAACCAGCCTGGTTCCATTCGATGCCAGGCATAATGAAGTAACGGTCTTTTGATGATTCTTGAGGAGGTGCAGAGGCTTTCCGGCGACCAGGTCAAGAACAGAGATTTGATTGTCTGCTGCCGCCAATACCGTGGTCCCAGAGGGCAGCGGGAGGACTGCCTCAATTGGTGCAGCGTGCTTGAAAGTCATCGCAGCCTTCGTCGCTGTTCTCGGATCCCAAAGTCTGACCGTCATATCATAACTTCCCGTCACCAGCATATTCGACATCGTGCCCGGCAAGAAGCCCCCACTTCGCACGTAATCTGAATGCCCAATGAACTTCGTAGTGCTCTCCTGGCTCGGCAGATCCCATAAACGGACTGTGCGATCGTCACTTGCGCTCATCAGGGTCGTCATCTCGGTCGGTGAGAACTTCGTCGTCCATACTGGCTGCTTGTGCTCGTCCCAGGTCTTCAGGATCGCCCGCTCCTTCATGTCGAACACCTGTATCCTCCCCGAATCGTCTCCTGCAACCATAATCCGGCCATCGCGTCGGATTTCTGCGCTGTGCGCAATATCGGTGAAGCGTGTGATGGTCTTGGTAAGTTTGCGGCTCTGTATCGAATATATCTGCACCCTCGTACCTGTAGTCACGACGAAAGAGTCATTGTTCGAGGGCTGTAGGGGGTTTCGAGACGGCGCTGGGTAAGAGATATGGGTCACCGGTGACTGGCAGGACAGGTTCTGCGAGTGCTTGAAGGACTTCCAATATCGTTGATCCGGGGTAATTGGCGACGGTCCGCTGGGAAACTTCGAAGGCTGGATCTTCTGGATTGGATGCGACATCTTTTCGGGCTGGTGAAGTGCGCGGTTGACGAGGGGTGCGGGGCGACTGTGAAGTTGATGAAGTCGAGCAGTCGCATAAAAAAAATGTTCCCAACTTTTTCCGAGGCTGAGCTAGTCCTCGGTCATCCTAGCTCATAGACGGGCGCCCTCGGCTAGGCCCCGACCTAGCTTTCTCGCTTGTGTGCAACTACAACAAACTCGCCACCAAAGACCTACATTTCTGTTTTCTATCCCAGACAAGGCGACAGTCCTCCAGTTCAGCTCTCAGCCCTCTCGGTACGTTATTTGATCCCTCGTCAGTTCACCCTCACTTTCTCGTTACCTGTGTCGTTTTTCCTGCATTTTGAACTTTCTCGAGAACCAAGCACCTCTCTTTACCTGTTGATTATCTATCCCAATCATGACTACACGAGGGGAATTACGTGCGCGTGACCGAGATGGCAATGAGCCTCCGTGCACTGAACCCCGATCTAGAAGTTTAGAGTATCATTTGGCTGATGAAAAAGATCTAAGCTATATATTACCAGGACAGGTTCAAGCAAACACCCCCCCTTTCCAGAAAGTCCGTGTCCTGTCTCGCGCGTTCTCGTTATGTATATATGATCCATGAGTCCGTCTTTTTGTCTGCCTGTATTGATATTCGTATTTTGGAATCTGCCGGTGGGCACTTCTTCTGTATATTATTGATTGTTTCGAGGCACGCTTTTGACCAGAAACAAATGCTATATCCACTCGATCAAAGAGGAGGCCTGCATTGTGGAAGATACTCAAGAGTGCCACTTGTGCAATATAAAGACCGTTCACAATCCCCCGGTCTCAAGTTTCCTTCTGAGACTCGCACCAACTCCCCTTCTACAATTCCACAATTCCACCCTTTTTGTCCACCAAACCTCTTAAGACTTAGAACACTGGCCGCGATCACCTTTCAAAAACCAGCAACGAATCAGGGGGATCTCTGCACCCTATTTTTTTTTTTTCAGAGAATAAATTCCCTAACTTGAGCTGATAAGCGAATTTCCCTCAACACACGGAAACGCCCACGATGCGTTCGAATCCCATAACGAGCGCCTTCACACGCTGCGCCTGCTCTCACCTCCGCACCCCCCTTCGAAGACATCGCTTTCGCGAGAGCCTGCAAGACTACCTCGACGAGCGGGATCTCGACCTAGACGCGCGCATCGATGCCCTGCACGATCTTGGCGCGAGATTCAGCGATCCGGCGGAGGAGAATGTGGATTTGCTGAAAGAGTTGATGTGCATGGAGCCTTCGCTGGAAGTGATCTACGAAGGGTGAGTCCCCGAGATACGGAGGAGTGTGATGGTGAAATCGGCAGCGATGGGAGTCGTTGGGAAGGGGCGCTGACGGGTTGACCTGCACAGGGCTGTGAGGATGGCCGTCATTCAGCGATTGGTGGAGGTGAAAAGCAGCATCGATGGCCTGATCAGTTCGTACGGCTGCCTGCGAGCTTTTGATAACTTCTTGCGCGAGTTTCCGGACGAGGTGGATATTGAGCGGGGTCGGTCACTGTTGCGGGATCGGCTGGGATTTCGAGGGGGATGTTGACGAGGCTTTGAGAAACAGAGGGTAGCTTGACCAGGTACCGAATCACACGAAAGCCAAAAAAAAAAAAAAAAAAAAAAAAAAAAAACCAATTCCCTAAAAAATCGGCCGGATTCGGGGTCGTAAGAGTGCCAAAAGCACTCGGTGATGAGATCTCATGGCAAAACAAAGTGTTTAAAACCCCGCAACCAAACGAGAGAAGTCGAACATCCAAACAACACGAACACTTATTTTGAAATCGGGGTTTTAGTAGCCTGGGGTCCCAACCACTAGAAGTAGAAATTGGAATCTGCCCCGGACCAGAGTGCCTCTAGCCATACTGACATCGACGTTCCCCGACGCCAAACACCATTCCCAAAGGAACACTGGCACTCTTTCTTCCTCGAAGCCCATACATACCTCTCCTGTAACAAGCAACTCCAAACAAACCGAAACTACCAACAACACTCAAGTCATGCACTAAGTACTACGTAAAAGCCAAAAAAAACTCGCCACGTTCCCATTCCATGAGCCGTCGTCCTTCTTCCCTCTTTCGGTGCCCATTCGTCTTCCGTCCACTCTTTCCTCTTTCGACTCTCCTTTCTTTCTAGCTACTTGTATCTTGCTACTGTTGCGATTCTTCTCACTTTACTTTACTTTATTACTTATCATTCGTACCGGTAGTGCGCTCCTGAGATGCTCTACGTAGGTATCGGTATCGGTATCGGTATCGCTCGAGAAGAGCTTCGTCGCTGACCGCGTCCCAGCGAGGTTGAGCAGCATCGTAGTACTACTTACTGCAAAGCCTTGCTAGATAGATAGATACCTAGGTAGATGTCTACGGCTGCGGCGTCGTCGCCCAGCGCCCAGCGATGAAACGCGCCCTCCTCCCCCCCGCGACATCCTGCGTACGATGAATGCACTCGTCGGGGTTTCGCAAGATTCGCTGATAGATGAGAGTGGTGCCCGTGATCAGCGATATCGATACCTACCTAGTCATGTCCAAAGACTAGACTGGATTCCCCGGGAGTCGAGTCGAGTCGAGCTCAGGGATCGGATACGGTATCGCTCTCTCTAAGATGGCTCCAACGACTCGCATCTTTCGATCCGGACGGGGGGACCGGCGACCGGCGACCGGCGACCGGACATTCGTCATACACATACCGGTATACCAAGCGGCAAGCATGCAGTACCTAATAAGTAGGTAGGTACCTAAGCATACCTCCCCGCCCACGCCCACGCCCACAAGCCCGCCGCTCCATCCGCCTCCATCGCTCCCATCCTCAGCGTCCGACCGACCGACCGACCGACCGACCGACAAATAAACAAATAAACAAATAAATAAACAAACAGATACATCTCCTCACACCTCGCCCAAACCCCCTCTTGTATGTACCAAACAGACCCCCATGCCTCAACCACATACCAACACCGTCTCCTCGAAGCACACGTACCTTACCTTACCTATGCACGACGCCTTCGCCGCCGCCAGGTCTGCAAAGCCATGCTCACTGGCACCGGTACCGTACCCTCGCATCCAGCCGCAGCCCTCCGCGGTCACGGGACAGGGGAGAGCCCGCTTCCGGACGAGGACGACGGTGCGGTCGTGGTCACGAGTTTCAGGGACGGTGGTGGCTGGATGGATGGATGGAGCCGACGGCGAGCGGTTCCTTGGAAGGGGGGGGGGGGAAGGGGGGGGCTGCGAGGGCGGCTCGGCTGTCGACTGGCTTCGTGACAAGGTCGTTGACTTTTTTTCACGACGGCTGGCTGGCTGGGTGGGTGGAGGGCGGTAACCGTTAGAGATAGGTACCTAATTACCGTGCTCGCTCGCGCCTCCACCCAACGGCGATAAGCACGGTAGGTACGTAGCGAGACCCGGGCACTTTGGCTTGGCGTTTTGGGGTTGTTTGCACAGGTTAGAATTGAAATTAAAATTAAAATTGAAGAATGTCAAAGATAGTAGTAGATAGCTACCTAGCGAAATCTACAAAATACCACACTACACACCCATGACCCAAACTCCTAAGTAAAAAAACTCCGACCCAACCAAGCAGCATACACTCAAGCGCGAGATGACGGCGAGAAGATCGATGTAGAAGGTGTGGAGTACGAAGTACGAAGGACGAGGACGAGGACGAGACGAGACGATAGGAGAGGCTCGGTCGGTCGGTCGCTTTGACTCAGTACTACTACTTACTGTGTAGATACGTAGTAGATAGGTAGAGATACTACGTATCCGAGGCAAATTAATCTTCATCGGATATACTTTCCAGACGGTCGGATATACTCTAGATACTTTAGACGACGGACATTGTCTCTATGAAAGGGGGGGAGGGCGGCCCTGGCGATTGAGTAGATGCTCCGGAGATAGAACTTGGTAAGTAAATACTAAGTGAGAATTCCAGGAATGCAAAAGCTGGAGCAGAGGAGAAGGGAAAGGGAATAATTACTCTGCTGCAGTTTGCCAAAGATGGAAAGCTACGGAATTAAAGTTAGGTACTTCGTATACCCCGCCCGTTGAACAAGTAGTCCGTGCGTCCAGCGCCCCAACCTTCCCCCCCAAGTTCTCTACCATGATAAAAAGTAGTCGTTCTCCCCCCCCCACTCACCCCGAGAAAACTTCAACAGCTAACTGAAAATGAAATCCTCCAACTGCTTCGCCTAGGCTTGACAGACCCTTCTTACTCTCTTTCTGAGATTCCCCCGTTTGTTTATCTCAAGACACGCTCGTGCTAGACTCGAATTACAAGCAGGTACCCCAGCAGGTACCCCTATTCGCGTCTCGGGTGCGATATCGATGGGCAGTGGACGCAATATGGAGGCCCACGTGACACCCGTCAGTGGTCAACGTGAAAATTCCCACCTGCGAGATCAGGCTCACGACCTTTCGTGGGCGGCATGGATAGGCCACCACCATTCTCCCCAACATGACCGGTTGACCGAAAATACCGATCTTCGGCAGAGCGGTCCCCTCCCCGATATTCCGCAATCAAGTTCCGTGAATCCAGCTGTGAGCGTAGCGCACGTGACACCACGTTGATCGGGGTGGACGGGATCTCTCCTCGAATCGAGGCTCCGAAATCCCACAGAACCTTCTAATCGTAATCTTTCAGGTGCAGCCCGGAAAAGCGCGTCTTCAACTTCACCAGCGCCGATCCGATCTCGGCTTTCACCCCATGCGAGCCCGTCGGATGGTTCGTGTACCCCATCTTGCTACAGAACGAGACGACCTTGATCTGCATCACCTCGCGGGCCAGGAACGTGAAATTCAGGTCCTTGTAGGGCGCGTCGGCCGGGGGCCAAAGTCCGAGACTGGTGGAGCTTTCGAGGAGAGATCCTAGGAGGATGTTATTGCATGTATATCTATGCGACTCGCTCCGGGAGGATGTACAGCGCGGCTTTTTCGCCTGCAGAACATCAATGTAGCGTCCGATGACGTCGAAGCAACTCTGGATTGCCTTGAGCCGCCTGGACAGGATATTATCTGGCCGTGTCAGTTGGCGATCCCCGTTTCGGTGCTGGGAGCGTGGCCTACCTATTATCCGCTCCGGTATGGGTAGATTCTCCTTCAGTGCGGGGGAGTACGTGTCCAGGTCCTGCCCGAGACTCTCCCTCTCCGCAATGCGGGTTATAAAATTGAACTCGGCCGGCCGGCGGAAGACCCAGGAGATACAGAGCCAGTGGATCAGGTCTGGGCCGAAGGTCTGCGGAATCTCCCCTCGCAGGGACTCCACCCACGCGTTCGAGTGCATGGCAACATGCTTTTGCAGCCGATACTTGTCGACCAGGATGGCGATTTTGGTGAGGAATAGGGTGTCCATCGGCGGCGGCGGCCGACCCCGGTGCACAATGTTCCCGTGCACGATGTCCATGAGCAGCGCAAACACGGTGGGATCATCGTCGGGCAAGGGGATCTCGACCTTGCCCGTGGAGCGCAGAGTCAGGCCTTCCCGGAAACTGTGCTTCAGCATGGCCTTGAACACGGGCGACGCCCGCATCACCAGTCGCGACGACACCCGCATGTACACCTTGGCGAACTTGCTCTTGTGGGGTCTGTAGGATCTGTGGCGCGGTCAGTCACCCGGTCGGCGCGGTCACGGGATCCGGAAGCGGAAGCGGAAGCGGATCCGCGATTTTTCGATTTACGTACAGCAACGAGCTGCCCTTCCGCCGCGGCTCCTTCACCAGACTCTGCAGGACGAAGGTCAAGTCTCCGTAGGGCGCAAACACCAGGATGCTCGAGGCCATGGTGAGATGTCACGATGGCGGCGCCGCGAGAGTTCGCGTGTCAGTTTGGGATCGGAATTTCGAGTAGAATTTTCAAGTAGTACAACAGCGCGATGGGATCTCTGGAGGTCTGCTGTTCCCATGAGAAGACGGACGAGAAGTTATTAGAGAGAAGAGAGCGACAGCAAGGAAACGAGCACGGGGTTTCGTGCTGGTGGTGATGGTGATGGTGGTGGTGGTGGGTGGTGGATGAGACGGTCGAGGTTGAAAAGAGATGGTAGAAGTTGTATGCGTATCTATCTCGGAGTGTTTGGTAAGCTAGGGATGTGGTTGAATCGGGGATGATGGGATAATCAGATGATGAGAGAATGGAATGGCCGAGCGAAAAGTGGAGACCGATCTTGGCTCGACGCTAATGCGGAATTGGCGTGGATAGTGGGGCTGATGGTGGGGTGGTGGGGTGGTGTCTGGTGGCGGTGGTGCTGGTGCTGGTTGGTGCTGGTTGGTGCTGGTTGGTGCTGGTTGGTGCTGGTGCTGGTGCCAGGCAGCGGAGCAGGTGTTGGTTCTGGGTCAGCCGACCGAGGTCAAGTCGTAGGTAGTCGTAGTCGTAGTCGTAGGGCATCAAGGGCATGAAGGGCATGAAGGGCATCAAGGGCATCAAAGGCGTCCGGGCACCACTCCCTGATTCCATACTATACCATACCATACCATACCATACCATACCATACCATACCATACCATACCATACTATACAACCTAGCCATACAATACCACCCAAGCATCCATCCAGCAAACTCCAACAACGTGTCTATCTACGGTATCGATCGATCCATCTCGCGAATCCCCCCAACCAGAACCCAGAACTCAGAACTCGGATCCTTCCCTTCCCAGCGGTCGCGGTCCCTCCCCCTGCCCTGCCCTCCGCTCCCCCCGTCACGCCAAGCGGGGGTCATCTCATCGCCCGCCAACGCAGAAGAACAAGAACAAGAAGAAGAAGGAGCCCTTGAAAAGGGCAAGGCAAGCTGGGCTCACGTCGTCGTGGCGGGTGGCGTTTTCCATTTTTTTTTCAGCCTTGGATACTTGTACTTGTACTTGTACCGGTAGGTAGGTAGATAGCCCGCCCACTCTGACGATGACGAGAACGAGAGACTGCTACGTAGTAGGAGTGTTTCCGGGGGAAGGGGAGGGAGGGAGGGAGGGGAGGGGAGAAGGGGGGGCTGTACTGGAGAGGATAGGAGAGGAGAGGAGAGGAGAGGACAGGACAGGTTCCGTAGGATTCCGACGGGGCTGGCTGGGCTTCGATT